CAGTTCATGTTCTGCTGATGATTTGGTTTGTACAAAATGTGTTTTAGCTGCTTGTTGCGGAGTTGTAGCACTGTCTCTTATACCCATCTAGATGTGTATAAGAGACAGAGGTGATGCATCGCAACTGAGTATCAGTGGCAACGTTGGGTTATAATGCACAATGACTTGTGATGATTGCAACATTTTCTTTGACATTTCGAAAGCTTCCTGCTGTTTTGGACCCCACATCCATTGAACTTCCTTACGAAGCAGATTGTTGAGAGGTGCCAGAACCGTGCTCAGGTTCTGTAAGAATCGATGATAATAATTTATCATACCTAAGTAGCTTTTCAGCTCGGATGCGTTCATTGGAACCGGTGCCTCTGCCAGTGCATTTACTTTTTCTTGAGTCGGATGTATTCCTTCTGCATCTAGTTTATGCCCCAGATAGACACATGACTCTTGCATGAAAGTACACTTCTCCTGTTTTAGTCGAAGTCCAGCATTTTGAAGTCTAGTCAGGACTAGAATCAAGTTTGCGTTGGCCTCTTCCCATGAAGATCCAGTTACTAACACATCATCCAAGTACACGGCTATCCTTGGAATTCCTTGCAAGATTTGTTCCATTAAGCGTTGGAAAATTCCGGGTGCTGATGCAATACCATAACACAGTCTGGTATAAGCAAAGAGTCCCTTTGTTGTGTTAATTGTAGTTAGTTTCTGCGAGTCTTCCTCAAGTTTTATCTGTTGATATGCATGACTGAGGTCTAATTTGGAGTAATACTTCCCTCCTGCTAACTTAGTGTATAAGTCTTCGATGTTCGGAATAGGATATCTGTCCACCTTTGCAGCAATGTTGACAGTGAGCTTGTAGTCACCACAGATACGGATATCACCGTTTGATTTCAGAACAGGTAGTATTGGTGCGGCCCAATCGCTAAACTCCACAGGCTTAATCACACCTTCCGAGCGCAATCTGTCTAACTCGTTTTCTACTTTAGAGCGCAATGCGTGCGGCACAGGCCTTGGCTTGAAGAAACGAGGTTGCACATCGTTGTCTATCCTTAACTTCGCCGTACAATTCTTTAACGTGCCAAGGTCCTTTTTGAAAAGTTCTGGGAACATTTCTTTGAACCCATTGCCTTCTAGCCTGTGAACTGTTGACCAATTTAATTGGAATCGTTGTAGCCAATCCCTTCCAAGCAGGTTTGGACCTTTACCTGGTACGATCAAAAGTGGAAGATGGTAATCTTGGTTTTCGTGACCTACTTCCACCATCACCTGGCCCAATGGCTGAATGATTTCTCCGGAATAGGTTCGCAGCTTCGGTAACTCTTCAGTTATCAGGGATAGGTTCAATTTCCCTATTTGTATCTGCCTAAATTGTGCTTCGCTAATTAAGCTTGTCGTCGCTCCTGTGTCAATTTCCATCATTGTTGGTATGCCATTTAGAGTGACCGTACACATATACGGTTTAACATGACTTCCTATGGTATCTGATTTATATAAAGGCAATTCATACTCATCTGTTGGCATAGTCAGTTCATGTTCTGCTGATGATTTGGTTTGTACAAAATGTGTTTTAGCTACTTGTTGCGGAGTTGTAGCCTTGCATACAGATGCAAAATGATTCATGCGCTGACACTTGTGACATTGTTTTCCCCAGGCCGGGCATAATTTATCACGTTTCCCTACACCATGATTACCTCCACAGCCAGAGCACTTGCGATTATCTTGTAACCTCTGATGCTGTGTTTTGCTTGATGATGAATAGCTACCTTGCTTTCCTTCACGTTTTGGTTTACGTAGCTGGTGGTATTTTTGCTGGGGTTTATGCTCAATCCTATGTATAGGTTTCTCAACTTCACATTTGTTGCTTCCAGTGTTCGGCCAAAAGTAAGTAACTCTTTCAGAGTTAGCGTTGGTTCGCTCAATCCTTTATTCCTGACTTTGATAAGTTGGCATCGCTGAATAATCTGTGATTTTATCTCTGCATCCTTGTCGTGAAATTCACAGTTCTTTGCCAGCTGGCACAATCTAGCATGGTATTTGTCCAGCACTTCAGTGGGATGTTGTGTTGCTTTTCTAAACATAAATATTTCGTATTCAATATTCCTCTTTGGAGCAAAATAAGCTGACAGTTTTTCTTTTGTCTGTGCATACGTGTCTTCTGCTAGAGTATGGCTTTCACTTATTTCAAAAACATCGTCGCCGCCCAAGTGAAGCAACATGGCCCGTTTCCTTACATCGTCGGTAATTGCCTTAGCGATGAGGAAATTATCAAAACGCTTTAGCCAGCGTTCCCAACGACCAGGTGCCGTTTCTGTAGGTTCAGTTTTGAAAGGTGGAATGGGTGTTTTTTCCATCATTCCATGCAACTCAATAAGG